GGCGGAACGGATTAACCGTATTTACATTGAACCTTATGGGAAACTTTACCTCGACTTGCAAACCAATTCGAGTTGCAACCAGAGTTACAGAACGGATTAAGTTCGTAACTAGAGGTACCACTGTATAGGTAATAACTAGCACCTTGAATGACACTCAGAAGCCACGTGGCAGCCAATGCAGCTTGTGTAGCAGTGGTGACACATGGGCACACCAAGAGGTGCCTGTTACCGCTCACACCATTGCAATTTGGGCCAGCTATAGCTTCTGGGTGGTCTTCAATGGCAGATCCATGTAGAGCGCATTGCCATAATTCAATTGTGAGGTGACCAGGTCACGAGTAACTGTCTGAAACATTTAAGCCACTGTCTTCCATAACTGTCTGAAAAACATTAGGTGACTTGGATTTCTCAAAACATTAATATTTGAAACATACTATGCTGCCAATTCAAATGCTGTGATGTGTCTATACCTACAAAGATCAAAATCCTGCAAGCCATGCTATTCCCTGTGACACTTTCTGGAAGCAAAACGTGGACTCCGAAGAAGCAGGATAGGAAGAGTACTGATGCCTTTGAACTTTGGTGTTGGAAAAGACTCCTGAGAATAACATGGATAGCCAAGGAAACAAACCGATGGATCATCAAACAAATCAACCCAGAGTTCTTACTCAAGGCACAAATGACCAGGTTCAAATGATCCTACTCTGGACACATGATGCAAAGACCCAGCTCTCTGCAGAAGGCAATAATGCCGGGAATGGCGGAATAAAAGAGAAGAAGAGGATGACCAGCAGCCAAGTGGATGGACTCAGTTATAGTGGTGATGGGGGCACCCTTGGGAGACTTGAAAGAACAGGTTAGGGATAGATTGTCGTGGAGAAAATCTATGTGGTCACTAGGAGTCAAAGACAACTTGATGGCACATAATTGGTCAATGCTGCCCATAGTAATTTAATCTGCAAATTACCACAGAAGTTTTCAGTTTTGATGAGCAAAGGAAAGGAAACAATAAAAACTAAGGCTCACCTTTGGCGGCCATGTGGCAGAACAGCCTTCCCTAAACTGGCAACCCCCGATGGTCTTGAATTACAAGTGTCAAGATAATGGCAATCGCAGAAGCGAGAGGTTACCTGCCAGCCTTGCCACCCACTCCAGTCTTTGCTCCCTCCGCCCTGCGCTACCGATCCACGCAGATTCGCAATGGAGGAGGATTTTCCTCCTCGAGAGCAAACAGCCCCGCCACGGGATGAAATGGCAGACCCCAGAAGGGAAATGGAAACCGAAACTTATCCTCTCTCCCAAACCTGCCGCCCCTTGTCATCAGCCAAGAGAGGATTACGCAAAGAAATCCAGCTGCTGGGAGAAACTCTGTTGAGAAATCTCTTACGAAGGAGAAAAGTAACGTGGGGGCATTTGGAGAGCGCGAAGAGAGATCTCTCGCCCTGATTTAGGGACCTGGGAGGCCAGGCGCGGGTGAATGACCCCCAGCCCGCCCGCCGCCTCTCATTTCTTTCTGAGTCCGCGCAAAGGAAGGGAGGAGCGTTCGCATCCGAAGTGGGTCGGGATGAAGCTCCATCCCGTGTTACAAACTCAGAGACTTGGGTCATCTGCTACGGTCGTGCCAAACGATCAGGTCCATCGGCGCCATTTTATTTGGAACGGGTCCCTCCATGGGGGAAACCGGCCAACCCACACCCGGAGTCCCCGATTTCGCCAGGAGAAAGGAAGAAACTTATCCTCTCTACCCAAATGGAACCGACGAGGCAAACCGCGCTGCTTCCAAGAGCCTCGGAAGGGGACCTGCGGCCCCGAGCGCCTCGCTTCGGCTCTTCTCCCGCTCTCGGGCGGGCGGAACCGTTTGTAGCCAAAGCCGCAAAGCCCACGGCGCGGGCTAGCGAGAGGGAGGACGGAGAGGGCTGGGGGAGACAGCAAGCAAGGAGGAAGGCGAAGCAGAGCCGGGGGTGAACAGCCAAGCGACGTCAAGCAGGGTTTACCAGACCGCGCCCCAGCAACGCCAGCGCTGCGCCCCTCTCGGCTTCTCCTCGCGCTCTCCTTCGACTGGGCACCCTCCAAACCAGCGTCACTCAACCTTGGCGACTGGAAGATGTGTGGACTTCAACTCCCAGAATTCCCCAGCCAGCCTTCTGAATTCTGGGTGTTGAAGTCCACACATCTTAAAGTTGCCAAGGTTGGGAAACCCTGCTTTAGAGAGAGGCTGTCACCAGCCCCGTGACTTCAGGGTACGGTAATGCAGGACCACGTGTGATTTTTCTCCAGATGTTCTGGGGAGGGGGCTGATTCTGGTTGAAGTAGGTAGTCCTGAAGGCACCTGGCACCAAGTTACGTGCAGCTTGATCGGTTCAGCCCAGAGCTTTACATTGCCCCCAAAAACCTATTGGCAACCGATGCAGAGCCCCTTTATAATGTGTTCACGGCAGCTGAAAGATGTTATTAGAGTTATTACCATCATGGTCACCACCATCCCTGCAATTCACACAGTCTACCCGGTAATTCTGACTGGATTTGAATGGATAAGCTTTGGTGTTTTTCTCTTGGAATACAGGATATGGGGCTACAGGTTGCCCTCCCTTCCGTGTTCCAAGAAATCAGCTGATTTTGAGATGAAAAAATTATAATCCTTTCTAGTCTTCTTCAGCTGATGTGTATTTCTGTGACCAGCAGAGGGTCTGATCTACAGTCAACACCTGGCAGTGATTCGCAAGCCAGCGGAGAGTTTTTCTATCTGTTACTACATATAAGGTGCAGTCAATTTGATTGTGGTATTGTTCATTTGGAAATGAGCAGAGATGGAGTTGTTTGTATTGCTAAAAAATTGTGTTTACAAAAAGCAGGCATTCTCTATACAGAAGTCTGTTAGCTACTCTCCTACATCATGGCTGATTCCCAGTCCAAATTTTCTAACAGAGGTTCCTTTCCAACTTTTGCATTCAATTTGCCAGTAATGATTAGAACATCTTTCTAGATTAAGATAAAAAGCACCCTGGAAGAAGGTAAAGCAAAACCAGTTCTTTCAGAGGCATCCATGCTGATGCCAAAATGTTTGCATCAAGATGTAAACTCTGTCCCTTAATACTTGCATCATGGCATTGTATATAAGGGGGTGGAGTTCGAGTTATGGCATCAGAGTGTACATTTTGTCAAGGGTTGTATGAAAGATTCTGTGTGTATATCCTTTGCAAAAGAAGTCAGAAGTCACTTTGTCAAATGTCCATATACATTTGTATCTTTTCTGTTTTTTCTATTTTCTACTCTGCATTTCTGCTATTTTTTTCCTTTCACAATTCTATTTCTCATACTTTCACTGCAATCTTTTTCTTTCGTCTTTTAATTTGTATACTATGAAAAAATAAAAATGGCTACAACATACATTTTGTTACTT